CGGTGTCCCGGGTTCTGGGGGAGGGGGCGAGGAATGATCCGGGTTGGGTCCTGCCCGGGTTGGGTCCTGCCCGGTGGGTCTCGGTGCCCCCGGGTGTTGGGGGTGGGAAATGATCCGGGTTGGGTCCCGCCGGGTGGTTCTCGGTGTCCCGGGTTTGGGGGGTGGAGAGGAATGATCCGGGTTGGGTCTCACCCGGGTTGGGTCCCACCCGGGTTGGGTCCTGCCCGGTGGGTCTCGGTGCCCCCGGGTGTTGGGGGTGGGAAATGATCCGGGTTGGGTTCTGCCCGGTTTGGGTCCCGCCGGGTGGGTCTCGGTGTCCCGGGTTCTGGGGAGGGGAATGATCTGGGTTGGGTCTCACCCGGGTTGGGTCCCACCCGGGTTGGGTCCTGGCCAGGTTGGGTCCTGCCCAGGTTGGGACCTGCCCAGTGGGTCTCGGTGCCCCTGGGTGTTGGGGGAGAGATGATCTGGGTTGGATCTTCCCGGTGGGTCTCGGTGCCCGGGTGTGTTGGGGTGGGGGTCGATGCTCCAGATCGGGTCCCACCCGCTGGGTCTCGGTGCCCCCGGCTCTTGGGGGTCGATGCTCCGGGTCGGGTCCCACCTGGTGGTTCTTGGGGTCCCCGGGTGCTGGGGGTGGGAAATGATACGGGTTGGGTTCTGCCCGGTTTGGGTCCCGTCGGGTGGTTCTCGGTGTCCCGGGTTCTGGGGAGGGGAATGATCTGGGTTGGGTCTCACCCGGGTTGGGTCCCACCCGGGTTGGGTCCTGGCCAGGTTGGGTCCTGCCCAGGTTGGGACCTGCCCAGTGGGTCTCGGTGCCCCTGGGTGTTGGGGGAGAGATGATCTGGGTTGGATCTTCCCGGTGGGTCTCGGTGCCCGGGTGTGTTGGGGTGGGGGTCGATGCTCCAGATCGGGTCCCACCCGCTGGGTCTCGGTGCCCCCGGCTCTTGGGGGTCGATGCTCCGGGTCGGGTCCCACCTGGTGGTTCTTGGTGTCCCCGGGGGCTGGGGGGGGGGGGATGATCCGAGTTGGGTCCCACCCGGGTTGGGTCCTGCCCGGTGGGTCTCGGTGCCCGGGGGGTGGGGGGCTGCTCCGGGTTGGCTGCTGTTGTTCCCTGACCCCCTCCCGCTCCTGCAGCACGCGGGGGCGCTACGGGGAGGGGGCAAAGCAGGAGAAGTTCAAGTACGCCCTGACCCTGGTGTTCATCCAGTGCGTGATCAACGCCGCCTTCGCCAGGCTCCGTGAGTCCCTTTGCTCCTCGGGCTGTTTCACCCCTCAGAGGGGACACCAGCACCCCGCTGGTCGCCCTGACGGGGGTCAGGCTGTGCTGGGTGCTGGCTGAACCCCTCCTGACCCCCCCCTCTCCCTGCTGTTCCTCCCAGTGATCCGGTTCCTGGAGCCGGGGAAGGTGGATCGCACGCGGAGCTGGCTCTACGCCGCCTGCTCCCTCTCCTACCTGGGTGCCATGGTCTCCAGCAACTCAGCACTGCAGTTTGTCAGCTACCCAACCCAGGTGGGCTCTGTGAGGGGCAGGGCTGGGAGGACCCCCCCAACCCTCGGGGTAACCCCAGGAACAGGCACCTGTTGCAGAGTCATAGAGTTGTTCGGGTTGGAAAAGACCTTTAAAGTCACGGAGTCCAACCGTGACCTGTTTTGTAGTGTCAGGGGGGTCAGGTCACCCTTGGGCCACCATGGTCTCTCTGGTTGCAGGCAGGTGACGGGATGGGGAGAATTAACACAGTCTTTCCTTTCCAGGTCCTTGGCAAATCCTGCAAGCCCATTCCAGGTAGGTCTTGCACCTTTCTCCTTGGATGTTTGTGGGGGTTCTTTGTGCCCTCGACATCAATTGCCAAAGCTGTGACAGCTTCACTCTGCCACAGGAGGAGGAAGGGCTGTTTTATCCACGTCTTGTGAATTGGGGCCCAGTTAAAACCACTTCCCCCTCCCCTGTGAGAGCCCTGGGAGCAGCTGGTGATGGTGTCTCTTTACAGTCATGCTTTTAGGAGTGACTGTGCTGCGGAAGAAGTATCCCCCAGCCAAGTATCTCTGCGTCCTCTTGATAGTGGCAGGGGTGGCCCTGTTCCTGTACAAGCCCAAAAAGGGGGCTGGGAGTGAGGACCACGTCTTTGGCTACGGAGAGCTGCTCCTGGTGAGTCCTGCCAGGGTGAGGAGGATCAGGTGGTTGCAGCACAGATAAGGCCACGTCCTTTGGACCTCACCTGTGCCCTGAAGCTGACGTGGGGACAGTTTTGCAGAGGGACATCTGGGCTTGAGGGTGCACCCTTGAGCTGTGGGCTGGGATCAGTGCAGGAGCACACACGTTCCCTCTCAGTGCATGTTTTGAGCCCCCAGAATTGCTACTGAATAGAGGATTGGGGTGTAAAAAAATGGGGGGGAGCTGAACATCTTCCCCGTAGAGAGGGCATAAAGAGCAAAGTTTTTCTTGGCTGCCTCTTATCTCTGACTCCTCTGTTCTCAGCTGCTGTCACTGACCTTGGACGGGCTGACTGGAGTGTCCCAGGACCACATGAGAGCTCACTACCAGACTGGTTCCAACCACATGATGCTCCACGTCAACCTCTGGTCCACCTTGTTCCTGGGGGCTGGTAAGGAACAGCCTGCAAGAACCACAGCTGCTGCACCCAGGTCCCTGGGGCGTCCTGTGGGAAAGGGACGTGATGTCCTGCTCCAGAAAGGGCCTAGAGAGCTTTTTCCATATCATTGTGTCTTGTTTGGGTTGTTTTTTTTCGCCTGGGTTGCTCAGTGTAGCTCTCCCCTTGCCCAGCAGAGGACACTGCTCCACACAGAGTGGAGCTGCCCGAGGCTCCAAACCAGCGGGTTCTACCTGAGGGCTCTCTTGTCAGAGCTGGAGCTGCAGTTCATGGTTGCTTCTTTCATTCAGTAACTGGGCAGGTGATCACTTTTTCTCCTCTCCTCTTTGTTTTCCACTGTGAGGAATTTTCTCTTTGCTTTTAGTAGCTCCTGTTGGGTTATGAGTGTAAACGACGTGGTCAGTGGCTGCTCAGACAGCTTCTGGGCTGGTAACTCATGATTGATCTTGGTCTTTCTTCCAGGGATCCTGTTCACTGGAGAGCTCTGGGAGTTCCTGAGTTTTACGGAGCGTTACCCCAGCATCATTTACAACATCCTCCTGTTTGGCCTGACCAGTGCCCTGGGTCAGGTAAATCCACTTTCCTTGTTCTGCAGCCCTCAAGGGGGTGTGTTGTCCAGCTGGGAGGTGGAAACTGCCTCACCTTCCCTTTGGTTGCTGCTTGTCTTCAGAGCCAAACTGCTGTAAGTTTGTATGCAAATCATCAGGATTTGAAATAAGATTCTGTCCGTTTTTCATCTGAAAATATGGAATCTAAAATCATAGAATGGACAAACATCATCTAGATCCAACCCCCTGCACAGGCAGGGACACCTCCCACCAGCCCAGGTTGCTTCAAGCCCCATCCAACCTGCCTTTCAACACTGCCAGGGATGGGGCAGCCACAGCTTCCCTGGTTCTGGATATGATCCATGTTGTCCTTTTTCCAGTCCAAGTGACAGGAGGCCTCTGTTTGTTCTTTACAGAGCTTTATTTTCATGACTGTGGTGTACTTTGGACCTCTGACTTGTTCCATCATCACCACAACCCGCAAGTTCTTCACCATTTTGGCCTCTGTCATCCTGTTTGCCAACCCCATCAGCTCCTTGCAGTGGGTGGGGACGATCCTGGTCTTCTTGGGTAAGTCTGGGAAGCAAATTCCTGAGTCCTTTTCCCCTTTCCATTTCACTAGAGATGATGTAGAGCCAGGGGACAGAGCTGAGAAAAGATGCTGGTCAAAAAAAAATCTGATGGCATGAGAACATTCTCAGTGGAAGGGCAGGTTAGTGCAGGAGAAGAGAAACATGATTCCTAGCAGATCCATTGGGTTTCTTTTCTTTTTCCCCCCACACAAGGTAAGTCACTGAGTGACCATTAGTCATTTAACTTGTCTGATTTCTCTCTGAAGTTCCTGTGTTATGTTTCTTTGAAGAATGTGAAGCCATTTTCTGTGCCCATGGGTTGTTCTTATCTCTTGGCAGGTCTTGGACTCGATGCCAAATTTGGGAAAGTGGTAAAGAAGACATCACATTGAGGATGTGATTGATCTCTGGATTTGGGAGGAACTTTTAATTTATTGTCTTGTACCTCAAAATCTGTTATGAAACTGGACTCAGGATAGGTAACCAGAAGGGAGAGTGTTTGAATTTTTTTTTGTTGGTTTAGTTTTTTAATTCTAAATTGTCTTCAAAGTGTAAATCTTTAGTTTTAAGTGTAATTAAGCTTCTTTTTTTTTGTTTTCTGTAATCAAAGCTGCATTACTCTATCCTAGTAGCAGGATGAAATTCTTGCCTTAACAGGAGGAAAAAAAAAACAACAAACAACAAACCTTAATATCTTTATTAAAGAAAAAGAGACAATGGTCACTTTTTCAGAACTTTAATTTTAGTGTCCTTGGCTGATCTTGGAGAGGAACAGCAGAGCTCCCTCCAAGGAGAGGGCTGGTCTTGGAATGATGTTGCTTCTTTGGTGTGGCCTGGAAAGATCCCTGGATTAAAGGCCTGTGTTGAGGACAGCCAAGCCCTTCTGCTTGATTGTATGATTTTTCCATAACTGAGTTGGTGGAGCAGCAGTTGGACACTCTTCTGTTCTGATAGTCTGCGCAGACACCAAGATGCTTTATCTCCTTCATTCCAAGCCCCTCTCGAGCAGGAGCAACTCTTGGCAGTTGTAGAAGTTTCCAGGAAACCTGTTTAGCCCGTGGGGCCCTGATTAATTCTTTCTGCCCCTGTTGCTGATGAAGGAGCAGGACCCTCTGCTGCTAAAACCATGCCGAGGTTGTGTGACAACAGCTTCTACATGTTGAAAGGGCCCTGGTTAATTACCCACCAGCTTTGGAACAGCCGCTCCTGGGCCCAGGAGAGTTCCCCAGTGTTGGATGGGGAGGAGTCACCATCAGAGTGATGCCTTCAGGGTTGGAGAGCAGAATTCTCCACAGAGCAAACTTTACACATGAAAGCATGTTTGTACCAGCTGTTGTTTGGTCTCCATCTGTGGCTTTGGCCTTTTGCCCCTCCAGATGGGATCCTGATCCCTTTCCTCAGCGCTGTTGTTCAGTCTTTCCCTCTCCAGCCCCTGCTCCCTCCACTCTTCTTTACAACTTTTTTTGGCCTCAAATTTGCTTTTCATTGAACCTATCTATCTATAGTTCTGCTCAAACACCACATTTCTTGGAAAATGCTACCCCAGGCTGTTCAAGGGTTTTTTTCTCTGTCACCTTCAGCTTTCCCATTGTCTCAAAGGTCAAGTGATAAGTAGGAAACATGTTCTCAGGGGCAGAGAATTAGGCAGTTAAAGCTTCTGTGACTTAACCCCATGGATCCTGATGAACCCTGTGAGTTGGCACCTGCTGCTGCATGGAGACTCTGGCTTCCTTGAAGACAGTTGTGCTGCCCAGTATCTCCAAGGTAATGAATACTCTTTTCCATTTTATAAAAGGGAGCGAGAAATTGCAGGACTTGTTCCTGAACGCTGTGGCAGAGCTAAGAATTCTCTTCTGTGTGTCTTCATCATAAAACTTCTCTCTGTGTTTATAGGACTTATACCCCTCTGTCTTTTAGCACGATCTGAAGTTGAACCAGTTCTCTTAACTCAGCAACCAAAAGCAGCAAAAAGATTCTAGGCAAGCTCTCCAATCTGTTACATTTTGCAGACTTGTTTTCTCTTTTATGAAAGTACTGCTCTGATGTGGGAATAGTAAAGCTCCCCATCACTGTGCAAATACAAACACCTGAAAAATGCTTGATAAAATCATGTACTTCCTCAACCACCCACTTCCTTGTGATAATCTTGGAATTTCTCTTCAAACATGTTGTCTGTTGAGAATATTTGAGCCATTGCTGTTGGAAATCACTCTTCTTTTGATTCCTAATTAGCAATCATTTTATACTGGCTAAAGCTCTTGAGAAAGTGTGTGATTGGAAGTGGAGGGACTGAGGTGGCAGCAGCCTGGTGTGTGTACATGCTGGGAAGACCACTCTTCCTGAGCTCTTCTCCCTCTTTTCATCCCCCCATCTCTAGGAGAGACAATGTCTTAAAAATGAAACAAAGCTTTCATTGTTATTTTTTGCCTTAACCATTGAAAAGAAACCACCACAGTTTCAAGGGAAAGCTTCTGCTCAAACCCACGGGTCCATCCCCTTCCCCACCAGCAGAAATGACAAGGCTGGGAACCTCCTAGGGTCTATTTTCTGAGCCAAGGTCTGTCTTTACCAGTATCTTCAATTCCTCTGTATTCAGAGCACAGATTCAAAGATCAGTCTGCCAAGAAGAAGGAAAATAAAGGAGATTTTCTCTCTCCTGATTGCTGCAGGCTCCCTTGACCCACTTTAGCTCTAAAGCCTGTTCCTGGTGTTGCTCCAGCTTGGTTCTTGCTTCACCCCCAACTCTGTCAATAAGAATCTCCTAAAACAAAGGCAGCTCTTGAACCTCCACCAAGGCTGAATCCTTTGGATTTCCTTGGACAGCTTGCTGTCTCTCCAGACCTCACGTCCTGCTGGATCCCAGAGGAGGTTACAAAAGCAATTCAAGAAGCTATTTTCAAATCAGCCCTGACTCTCCTTGGACAGTTTGAACAGCACAGGTTTGAACAGTGTGAACAAAGCAGGTCCCCAGCTCTGAGCTGCCAGGATTGCTGCTGTCCTGCCTCTCCCCAGTGACAAACTGCTGGCCAGTTTTGAGAAGCCTGCCTGGTGGCTTCTGGTGTGTGTTGCTGCTTGAGTTCAGCTGTCTCCTTCCATAAAGACAGGTAAACTCCAAAGGGATTGAGTTAGGATGCAAGAATGTTTTCATCCTCCATGTACTTTCTTCCTATTAGAAGTGGTAGCTCCTCTTCAAGGCACCTTTTGCAGAGGGATAATGATGTTTAATAGTGGGGTTTTTTGCTTGTTCACACACCAGAAAAAAAGTGACACAGTGGAAGTGTCTTCAGAGGCAATTCCTGAAGGTCTGGTGAAGTGTCAGTAAGGGCTTTCCATCTTCAAGTAAGAGATCAGTCATGTACAAAGTGCTGGCAGAACCTGCTCTAGATACTGCACAACTTCCAGGCTGTGCAAAGGAGCCTGTAACTGCTGCTGGCAAGTTCTGTTGTGCTTATTCAAAGAAGAGAGTGTCCTGTGGCAGCAAGTGCAGCGTAGAGGCTTGGAGGAACCTGAGCACAGTGCTCAGGTTCTCTACCAACAGCCTGGGCTTCACCAGTTCTGCTGTGGCTCAGTTTTGCTCTCCTTTATTTGTTTTTTAGACATTCTCAAGTTTACTAGAAGGCTGCATAAATAAAAAAACCTACCTTGTTTTTCAGCCCTGTGTGCTTGATCTGTCTTTCTTTCCTTGGCTGAAGGAAGCAACAGTTTTGTGATAATGTTGTGTTTTCCAAAAGATTTTGTAAAGTGTAAAATATCACCCTTTGCAGCCAGGGTGGCAGGTGCTTTGCACACTCACTCTGTGAGGTTTTTGAGTTTGGGCTGGCTTGTGCAGGAGTCACTAAAGGGAGTGCTTGTGGTTTGCTCCTCCCTCTGCAGATCTGACTGCTCTTTCTCTGAGTAGAAGAGGAAAGGAAATCAGTTGAGTAGGAGATTAATTTCTTAAGTGCCTTAGACAAAGCCCTGCAAGTGCAAAGTGTGAGGTCAGGCTGAGAAGTTACAAATAGATTCCATCTTCTCTTTCTGTTGGCTCCAGAGTCCCAGCCTTGAGTCTGTTTATGACTCAGCCAGTTACCAGCAGGGGGAACTCTTATTTCAATCATTTTCAAGAAAAACAAAGAGAGAAAAAAAAACAACCCACAGCCAAAAGCAGTTCCTCTTTAATTAGCCACAGAACTGTACTCCTGGAGGCTTTGTGCAGCTAGTAAATATGGAAATCAAGGTCTTCCTCCATTTTTATTCTGCTTATTTCTTTCTGACCATCAGCAGAGACTCTAGTGAAGCAAAATTGTTAGAGGCTTTAAGGCAATCACCATTGCTGCTGCAGAATGGTCTTCATCACAAACAGCATGAGGATAAGGAATTGTGTCTTCCTGTCACACAACCTGCTGGTTTCCAGCACAGCAGCAACCACTGCCATCAGAGTCCATGTTTCTGAAAACATTTCTGCCAGAATTCTCCCAGGAACCTTGTCAGCTCTTGGTGCTTCCAGGGAGATGAGAAGAGTCATGCACGGACTGAGAATAAACAGTAGATGACACGGCTGCAGTGGTTGTGCCTGTTGGCCCTCCAGGAGGAGCTCCTCGCTGTAGCAGTTCAGGAAGGTGAAGTTTGATTTCATAGCTAACTGAGACATGGCATCCACAGGGGGCAAAACTTGGCAGCTGTGTTCCTTTGCCTTTCATCTTCCTGGTTTTTACGAGCTCCTTCTGCAACAGCAGCAGCAAATGTTGGAAAAAAACCCCAAACGTTGAGCGAGCCCAGAGAATAGAGCAGGTGATGTGTCTGTGTATATATTGTGTGGAGGTGGATGGAATTGTGTAACACAGCTCTGGTCACAGGATAGTAAAGACTCATGCTCAAATGACAACAGTTTAAGGGATAAGGAAGTTATTGTTACTACTTTAATGAATTTCCAGTCTTGAAGAGACCACTTAAAAACCCAACATGAATGGTCGTTCTCTGAGGACAACCAGGATTTATGCTGTGCCTCTCAGGGGAGAGTTGGTGATTATCTGAGCTTTGAAAATGGGAGTGAAGTGAAATATGTTAATAGGCATGCATAATTTGGGGGCCAGCACTGGAAGATTTCCATAATGGTCCTTGTACGTGGTGATTTGCTTTTCTGCAGGTGAGACTGGCACCCCACATTTGTTAATCAAGTGTTGTCATTTCCCCTTTGTAACAGCTCAAAGACAACACTAAGGAATCGTGCAGTGGCTCTGGAACAGGAATAGTGCCTGCAGGCCCCATCTCTAATGGCTTCTTCCCATTGACAGGAGAAAACTGCCCTCCAAAGGACTATTTCCCACCTAAAATTAAACATGACAAGGCAATAAAAATCTCAGCCCTTTCGAGTACACTCAGACAGAGGGGATCATTGTCTCCAGGTTCTGTCATAGTGGAGAATGTAGACAGTGGAGTTTGTGTCCTGGGGCAGCGTGGCTGCCTGGCAGGCATCAGCCAGACTTGTAAAAATCCCTTCTCAGAACAAGGCAAACTGCTTCCTGGGCAAAGCCTGCCTGTCTCACCCCTTACCAGCCTT